CTAATTAGCTACATGTAGCATTAAGAGTGGCTACATGTAACAACTAGCTTAACTCCATCCAAAGCTAAAAAATGAATTAGTTTAAAACACGCTTTATGTATGAAACAAATTACATAAAATGGTAATAAGTAAGCCTTGGGGGTATTTCTAGGTGCATTTTTTTACATTTAAAACTTCCTGTTTCTACCTGCTTGTCATCTAACATTTGGTATCAAAGCAGAACTCAAACTTCCTTAAAACATTCATACTCACCACAAACCTAAACAGGAATTTAAATAGGTACACTTTGATGCTTCTTGTTTAACATTTTGCCATTCTTTTTAAACAGGTTTTTGCCCAGTTTTTTCACTTTCAGACCTCACTCCCAGAAGACGTTTGACCTTGTTATAACAAGAAAATCACAGAGGCCTACATGAGGACTACAGAAGCAAATGTGCAAAAATGGATCATTACAAAGATTCAAGCACCTAGCAAACATTTGTTATTGTAAGCTTTATGTTCCTAAACCATACTCCATACTATATTCTCAGCAGGATATGGGGCAGTAGATAGGGCAGTATTTTTAGTGCAAAATGTTAAAAGTATATTATTTTCTTGTATTTTCAGTAAAACAGGCAGGATTAGTATCAGCCCCTGACATTTCATATAGCCTTTATAAAAACAGCCCTTGTACCTCTGGAAGTTATTGAAAGTGGCATGTAAAAAGGAACTCATACCAAAGGCATGGCGAAGAGCAGGAAGAAGAACTTGTCAATCATCAACCACTTTTGACAAATTAGTCTCTTGATTGTGGAAGCAAAGATTTTCTTCAGTGTTATGGCTCAAAGATTCTCAGCATTTTTGAATAATAACAATTTCATTGACCCCTCACTGCAGAAGGCAGGGATAAGTGGCTCTTCCATTTGTTTGGAACATACTAGTATCATCTGGCACCAGGTACAGACAGCCAAGAAGGAACAGAAAGACCTGCATGTAATGGTCCTAGACCTTGCCAATGCCCTTGGGTCAGCATTCAACCTCTACCAAGTTCCAGAGGGCATAATAAACCTGGTCAAAGCCTACTTTCAGGACCTGTAGTTCTGCTTTACAATAAAGGACAATATCACTGCCTTGCAGAAGCCTGAGATTCGTGTAATTGCACACTGCACCATCTCTCCCCTAGCTTTCACCATGGCCAAATAACCATTTAGTCACCATGCAACACACCCAGGTGTGAGCGGCCTGCCATGGGCCAGCCTCAGCTGTGTCTTATGATAAAAGGCTGAAACACCCAATGAAGCCAGGGTGCACAACTGAAGATGTGTCATGTTGGTGGAAACATCACTAAGTGGCCATCATCAAAGTCATCCCACCAAAGGAGAGATGACTGATGAGATGAGATTCAACTTTATTGTCATTACCCATATACAAGGCAACAAAATGCAGTTTAGCATCTAACCAGAATATCTCCAACCCCACTCAAGGGACGCTGGGGATTTATTGGAGTTTTTAGATCTCACTGCTGCCTTCAATACAGTGGATAATGGAATCCTCTTATCTCACTTGGAGCAGTGTGTAGGAATTCAAGGTACTGTTCTTAACTGGTTCAGATCTTAGCTCACCAATAGCAGTTTTACTGTTAATATTGGTACCTGTTCATCCTCTCCAACAATCCTTTCTTGTGGTGTCCCCCAAGGATCTGTGCTTGGTCCCATTCTGTTCTCATGTACAACATGCTTCCTTTAGGATCTGTCTAATGGAAATATGGCTTTTCTTTTCACTGTTATGCAGATGACATTCAGATATACTTACTGTTGAAGACAACAAGAGGGATGTCATTACAGCCATTGTTTGACTGTCTGACAGACTTGAAATCATGGCTGGCACTTAACATTTTAAATCTTAATGAAAATAAAACTGAGCGTGTGCTTTTTGGAGACTTGGCGAAGTTAACTTCTTTTGACCAGGGTCTGGGCCCACTGGCTCATCATCTGAAGTCGACTGTAAAAAACCTTAGGGTGATGTTTGATGGTGACTTAAGATTTGATCAGCAAATCAACTCAGTTGTGAAATCTAGCTTCTTCCACCTCAAGTTGTTAAGTAAAATCAAGTCATTCCTTTCTTTTAATGATTTTGAGATTGCAATCCATGCTTGACTATTGCAATGCTCTATACTATGGTGTTAACCAGTCTTCTCTCTCTCATCTTCAGATGGTTGAAAATGCTGCTGCTCGTCTTCTGACAAGTACTAGAAAATTTGAACATATACTGGCTTCTCTCCACTGGCTTCCAGTCCATTTTAGAATTGATTTTAAACTGTTGATTTTTGTTTTAAAGGCTCTTAATGGTTTGGCACCATCTTATCTCACTGAATTAGTGCATTGCCACAAACCTACAAGGTCCCTCAGACCTTCAAGCCAGTTTCTTTTAGAGGTTCCTATGGCAGGATATAAATGTTGGGGTGACCATGCTTTTACTGTTGCAGCCCCTAAATTGTGGAATAGTCTACCTTTTAATGTTAGATCAGCTACTGACCTGACTACCTTTAAATCTTTGCGACTATTCCACAGTTTAGGGACTGCAACAGTAATTGTGTTGTTTTATTTTTTGCACTGAACCTATTTATTTTATTTTAGTTATTACTGCAATTTTATTCTGCTTATGTAAAAGTACTTTGGTCAACTGGATTTTGTTTTTATAGTGCTATATAAATAAAATTAATTTGATTTGATTTGATTTGTAACACCTAGTCCTTTAAGCAAAAGGACTGAATTCTAAGTGCCAAAACACTATACAGTAAAGATTTGTATAAAGTGCAGCCTATACTTTAATGTAATGGAATAGCCAACAATGTGAATTTGGGACATAAGAATAAACTTATTATCCACAGGTGTGACTTCAGTCATGTTGCATAGCAGGCACAAATATGTCTCTTTATAAACACAGATCACACACCAACATATAATACATATAAGTGAGGTATACAAACAGAGAAGTAAACACAAGTGCCCCAAGAGAGAAATGAAAACAAACCCGTTTGTATTAGTGTTAATTAAAAACCTAATGAAGAGGAATAGAATCTAGTGACAACAATTTAAGAGGCTACCTAACTAAGACAGGGGAATTCAATGGAGTAAACTTTGTACTTGTCAATCAGTGCCACATTAAATAAAGGGAACTGAGTGTGTTAAATAATTATCTTGGTGGCTAAAAGCCTGCAAAAACAAAATACTACACATTGAATTACAGATGTGCAGATTTATTCATCATATATATAACTTCAAATGAAGAACACTATACGCAAATGCAGTTTAAAATGTTTAGGGTTGAAGATTTTTCTATTAAATAATTTCAAACAGTTACCTGGTCTGATGCTGCAGACTTGTGGCACACCTTGTAACAAGCCTAATTGTCTTCAGAGGAGTAGTTTGTGATTTTGGGAAGTATGCACATTTGTGTTCTTGTTTTCAGATAGAACACTGATACTAATGCCATATTGCTTTGTTGAATATGAGGCTGAAGCAAGGAAGCTGTTAGCTTAGCATAAAGACTGGAATCAGGTGAAACACTTAGTCTGACTTTAGATATGGGAGATTTCTTTGTAAATTGTGCGTGAAATCACTGCTGTATTTTTCATGTGTCTTTAAATAAACAGACATTTGAAAACATCTGGAGGTGGAATGTGATTCTTCTTTTCTTTTTATGTGCTTTTTAAAGGTGTGGAAAGCACAAATGCTTACTTGAGTGCAGCACAGCTTAGTAAAACTGGGCATTTTAAACAGGACACTTTAAAGATAATCACATTGTCTCCTTGAGTCCACTCTGCTGGGTGTCTTCTTTTGTCAGCTAATAAATAAACCTAAAGAAAGTGGGTAAGTTGGTAAGAATAGTTTTCAGACAGATCATGTCTATGAGACCAGAGGCTGTGACTCAGCGGTGTCATCCACGAGAGTGTGACTCACAGCACCTGAGGAGTGATTGTCCAGCCTCTGGTTTCTGTCATGTTAGATACCTGCCAAACAGTTGATGATGTCATTATGTCACAATGTTTCAGTTTTCAATAAACAAGACACATATTTATATTTATTATTATACTATTTTATTATGCAACATAGCAGTAAATATATGAGTTCACACCTTTGGACACAGTTAAATGGTTTGAATGTAGCAAAAATTTCGATGATGTCTAAACAGTTGTCAGAATACATGTACAGTACCTGCTACAAAGTGAATAAAAGTGCAACAATATCTGACAGAATACATAATATACTGAGAATCCATGAATATATTACATAACTGACTATAAACTGTTTAAAGTTATATACTATCCAATCAACATATTACAAATATTTAAAATTAAATATATTAAGAATTTATATCAAAAGCCACTATACAATATGATCACTGGCATCCTGCTAAAATATTATAATGATGTTTTAAGGACATTTTAAACCAGAGCCACAGAACCACTGTGAAGTTCTTAGAGTCTAACCTAATGCAGCAGACTCGTTTCCTGTCTCTTGTTGAGCTTTGGTGATGAGCGACCTATTGTTATTGGGGGGCGACAGTGGAGGTGGGTAGAGCAGTTGACTCACCATCCGGAAGTTTGAGGGTTCAAATCTCGGTGCCAGCAGTCCACACGTGTCCTTGGGCAAGACACTGAATCCCCCAAGTTGCCTGTGATGGCGGCACGTATGCACGCAGCAGCCCGGGGCCCTCGGCTCCAAACAAAATTTATTGTCACTTGTTACAGTGACAATGAAATAAAGCTTCTAATTCTTCTTCTAGATGTTCCATGGATTCTATAAAATTGATCTTTCATTATAAGGTCTAATTTATCCAAAAGCATAACAAAAAATTAAGAAATATGACATTTACTTACGATCTGAAGGAATATAAAATGTAAACAGAAAGGGGCCAAATATGGTCATACCCGGAAAAGTACCCATCCCCCCTCTCTTGATCTTCTAAACAAATTGAGTGACGTCGTGAGACTCCCGCCTTATAAATTTACTTCATAACAGGTTTGTATCATTTCGACACCGATCATATGAGCTCAGTAATCAGTACCTAGTTCTACCTGGTTCTACCTATTTAAACCTAGGTAATCTCCGCTGGTACTTGTACTGTTTGGGGGACTCACCTTTGTGAGTGCGCTCGCTGTTTCCCTTCAAACAGGTTTGACCAGGACACTCCTGCAGGAAATAAAGGAAGCTCTGTTCACCGCGACGGTGTTCTTTACTCCAACTTCGATCGCCGTGGTTGACGGGCGTCTTTTTGCTTCTCCGTTTTTAGGGTTTATTAATTTCGTTCTTTACTCCAACTTCGATCGCCGTGGCTGACGGGCGTCTTTTTGCTTCTTCGTTTTTAGGTTTTATTAATTTCATCATGACAATTTGGATTGCTCTCGTTCTTGCTACCTTTGCAGTGGGAGCTTCTGCTCAAAGCTGTAAGTAGTTTGATTTATTGAAAGCTTTATTGGGCTTTACAAAAAGTAGCTTGTGCTGCGTATGTCACTTTCTTAAAATTGTGATTCAAGAATGCTTAAGTTACCAAACAGGAATAAGCTGAAATAGGCTTTGTTTCAACAAGTTAAAGTCTTTCTAATTCCATTTCTTTCCTTCAGTGTAATGTTTTGTCATAAAAAGTGACAACGATGAGATGTGGAGATAAAAACGATTCAGGTGACAAACGTAGGTAGTTTCGTTGGTGAGTGGGGGTGGGGAGGATTTGTTCCGTTGTGTGGGGACGTGCGTGTTTCGAGAAACCAACGCCCAGGTGTTGTTCAGTAGCTGCTGTTCTACCTGTTGTACTTGTTGCTGTGTTCCTCTTTGTAGGGTCATAAAAAAGTACAACAAATACTGACATGCGAATAAAATTAACCTTTGGTACATTTAGTGTTTCTGCTTGACAACGAAATACCCAATTATGTGATTATGCCGATCAACACAATTACTCCGAAGTTAAGCCATTAGATATTTAAAATATTAACTGAAGCGTTCTGGTTAAGGGTTACTGACATGTTTTAATATTGATGGTGTTGTGTGTCATTATGATTGGAAAAAGCTTTGTTTTTCTGCTTTAGGTACATGTCCCACTATGAAGTGGGCCGTTTGTGAAGGAACAGCACCACCATGTTCATGTACCCTTCAGGTCAGCGATAACGTGAAGCAGCCAGTGGACTGCACCAAATGTAAGTAAAAGATGTTGTGATGATGCCTATAGGCTTTCATTCACACAGCCCTCCATCTGCAGGTTGTTCTGTTCTTACCTGCACCTGATGTGCCTTTTTTCCACCTTCAGTGATCGCTAAGTGCTTCTTGATGAAAGCTGAGATGTTCAGAGCTAGAAAGGGCTTGAGCACTCGTTCAATAGGAGGAAAACCAGTGGAGACTGCCTTTGTGGACAATGATGGCATCTATGACCCAGACTGTGAGAACGATGGCAAATTCAAGGCCAGGCAGTGCAACAACACAGAAGAGTGCTGGTGTGTGAACAGTGCTGGTGTTCGTCGAACGGACAAGGGAGATAAGAACCTCGTATGTGACAAGCTGGTGGAGACCTAGTAAGTAGTTTAAGTGTGGAGGGCTGGTACTGGGATGAATAGTTTATACTTTCATCACTGAAATGTTTGCCTCTTGTCTCGTCCTTTTCTACAGTTGGATTCGTCTTCAGCTGTCACACAAACCACTTTCAACTCCAGTGACTGCTGCTGATTTGACACCGTAAATATATTTAAAAAGTCCCGCTCTAAAAAAAACAAATGTTAAAATCAGTTTGATTAATGTAATGTCTTCCCTAATACAGTGCCATTAAAGATGCCATTGGGAAACGCTACCCCAACTTCAACACAGCGATGGTGGAAGATGTCCGGGTGAGTGAATGACTGAATTCTCAGAAAGGCATTAGAGACGTACACCACTGTCTAACCTCCAGTCTGTACCCCTGTAGTATGACCCTGATGCTGGCATGATTGTGGTGGATGTGAAGAAGCCAAAAGAAGACCGCACGACTGACCTACCCACTATGGCCTACTACATGGAGAAAGATGTATATTGAAGTTTTTTTTTTTCTCTTTTCTGTGTGTTTTTTTCTCTTTTTTGTGTGTGTGTGTGTGTGTGTGTGTGTGTGTGTGTGTGTGTGTGTGTGAGAGAGAGAGAGAATAGAAGAAGACTGACAGTGACCCTGTCATTCCCCATTATTCTTCCCGCAGGTGAAGATACTGCCCCTATTCTTGAACCCGGACAAGTTTGCACCAACTGTGAACAGCCAGCAGCTGGAGATGTCGAACATCCTGGTGTACTATGTGGATGAGGTGGCACCGACTTTCACCATGAAAAATCTGTCTGGTGGAATCATCGCTGTCATTGTGGTGGTGGTGTTGGCTGTTGTTGCTGGCCTGCTGATCCTGGTGAGTGCATGTCTGCCTAAAAATGTTCTCTCTTCAGTTTGAGCACAATGTCAATTTTCTTTGACTTGTAAGTTACTGCTTTTGGATGAGCCTTCATTGAAATTTTTTTCTCCTCCTGTGTGTGTGTGTGTGTGTGTATAGTTCTTTGCCAGAAAACGACAGAATAAGAAGTACAACAAAGCTCAGGTGATTTGACCTTTCTGTAACCTAACCTTTTTTATATCAGTCTGTGTAAAGGCTACATAAAATTAAGTATTTTTTTATGCTCTTTTCTTTAATTCAGCAAAGAGAGATGGAGCCCATGTAAAGTCTTCATCACAGCAGGAGCTTGTGAAACTCGTACATCACCTTTTGGATGAACATTTTTGCAGTGGGAGTGCTTTTTCTTTCACAGTTTTATTTGAGGAATGGAGATTTCTTTACAATCAACTTTCTTTTTTTTTTTTAATATAAATGTGTAGTCTTCATCCAGTCTATATGCCATAAAAACTGTGCTTTTAAAACTATGCCTGGAACATGGTGGATTTTGATGTTAGAACTTGTTGAATGGTTAAAATTCCATGTCAGATTGTACAGTTTATGTATGGATTGTTTTTAATAAAAAAAAAATTTTTAAAGACTGTGCTCCAGGATTCTGTGTTGAGGTTTATCAGATGTGCCATGGTCACACTGGGAAAAGTACAACAGACCATATAGGAAAGGGAATGCACCAGAGAGGATTGTGGGCACCATTTTGCATAGTTTTGATTTTAATACAAGCCCCAAATTACTAAATTCTGCATACAAAGTCAGCATAAGCACTTGGTGTGTTCAGATGATCCCAGTAAATGAACTTTGTGTGTGTGTGTCGATCTTCCCTTCATTTCAGATATGTTAGCTGCTTTCAGAATAAAGGATTGTACTGAGCCTTTTGTTTACATGAGGCAGGCAGGGTTTTGAAATGGGTGTGGCAGCCCTGTTTTGCATGTGTGACTGTCCTGATGCATTCCCCCCCCTCAAAGGAGCTTGAAGGTTATAAAGTTAATCTTCAATCCTTGTTAACCTTCAGACAAAATACACCTGTGTGGCAGTCTGCCTCGATACAATGAGAAGTCTGGGCAGCAATGGCACAAAAATGTGTTTGTGGTGATACTAGCTGACAGAGGTTACCTTGTTGTATGACACCTCTTAGAGGCAGCCGGTCATGTCTGTAAAACTGCTCAACCTGTCAGTCAGGTTCAGGGTTACTCATAAATGAACACATGCGGTATATGCACAACAAATACAGAGGTACAAGTTAAAGGGAACAACATTGACTTTTGGCCTGTCCTAAGGTCTTTTGCAAAGTCTGGTGTAGTTGACACAGATCTTAACTGGAGAGTGAGGTGGGAATTTGTTGCACAATGCAATGGAAACAGTTATGTTGCAGTGTGGAGGTAAAAAATTCCTCAGGTGTCCTGTCAACATTCAGTGTTTTGTGTGGCTGAAAGCAGTCCTTGTTCAATCTTTGTGTCACAGTGAAGTCCCACTTATGGGGAAAAGCCAAATGACAAAAATAGTTGTAAACAGCCTATGTCTGTTTACCTTTATTTTGAAAGTTCAGCAATACACTTAATTTGTAAATGTGAATGTGGATTTTCCCCTCCATTCTTCTCAATTCCCACACCTTTTATAATGTACATTACAGGCCAGCAATGTTGTCAATCATTTATCTATGGTGTCTTAATTCCCATTTGCCTAACCCAGTTTTTCTCCTCTATGAGCCCTCCTTTCCTCGCCATAGCAACACAGGGACAAAAGCAAGTCTCTAACCAGTTCAGACAGGTTAGGTATCATATAACACCCTCGCTCACTGTCTTCCGTGAAAGCCTACAGGAATGAGGGTGTGTCAGTTGCTGTCAGCTACCTGTTGCAGGTATCAGCATGTCAGTTACGTTTCGACCAGTGAGGGGGCTGGAGGCCAGGTTTGTGGGAGGGGGAAGAGGAGAAACGAAAGCAGGAGTGTCTGAATATTATGGTTGATATGGATCCACTTCCCAGAAGGTGTGGACTGTTATTTGAATGAATAGAAAAAGTAGGTTGTCTCAGGGATTTTACACACTCAGTGAAACCAGTCACATGTTTGCTGTATTTAAGTGTAGTCAATGATTTGACTTGTACAGGAATTATAAAACTTATTCCAAGGATGATTTAAATACATATGACAAATATAATACCATCTTGCTATATACAGGCATTAGATAATACTGGGAGGAAAAATATCTTTTTAAAGTACCTTGTCTACAAAATGTCCTTTTTTTTCCAGGTAATCTTTAGGTTAAATGTATCGCAATATTTGCTTCATTAAAATATATTGTCACATCGTGTATAAACAGAACAGAGAACCATGATCCTCTTTACACCTTTCAGCAACCACCACACATTACTATTAACCTTTGCTCTCAGCATCAGTCACTTTCTCTTACTGTAACATCTAAATGACATGAAAGCACTGTGCTAATGTAGTGGTTAGAAATAAACCAGATTCCAGAAGTAATATGTAATAGAACAGTATGTAGTTCATATTTAGATAATACTTGTGTAAGGATGTAAGGCTGAGCTAAGTGTGCGGAAGCTTGATCTGTCTCTGGCGCAGGCAAGAATATCTGTGTCCCCCTTGATTAACTTATGGGTCAACATCCTGAGTGACTTCCTCCTCTGATAGGGTGTGGATATACAGCTTATGTGAACTGTTTGTGTGCTCTGTCCAGGTTTAGAAAAGGGAAATGTGCGCTAGGTCTATGTGACCTAGAAGGTAATGTACTGGACGGCTTGGACAATGCTTGGAAGAAGGTGTGTGAGGGTAGCTGGCATGGGACCGCGTCTTCATGGCTCAGGCCATGGAGGGCTGTGTGAGTATGAGCAGATAAAGGCTGGGTTAGAGCAGCAGAAGAGGGAGAGAGGATGACCATGCTACCGTGAACAGTGTACCACAAGCCCGGCCTCGGAGGGCCGGGGGGAAATGACGACTGACTGGGGCTGACAGGGGAACCGACTCGGGACCGATATCCAATGACTTGACTGACTGGTGCTTCTGACAATATTCTTATGCTTTATCTATTACATTGCAAGAGGAGAGTCTCTGTTCTCTGATCTCTGTTCTCTGTTCCCTAACTACAAGATTATGTGTTTAAATACTACTCTATTCAGAATAATTGTAATATTAAATGATCCTTTAAATTGTAATGGTTTGTCTGAATTAATTTAGTCGGTATCACACTCTAGCCACAACATTAACTTTAGTTTTGCAGCTCTCCTGGCTGTTCAGTAACTCAGAGCATAAACTGGCTGTCACTCAAAGTAGTCTGGTTATCTGTTATTGCCTCCTGCTTTTACCATATTGTCCTTCATTGTACAACAATATGTAACACTGTAAGGGTTTGAATTCCTCAGAGTTGTTGTGCCCTACAGGAGGACACAAACAGATACAAAAATACCCAATATTATTTCTTTATAAGTGTCATTACTTCTACATTATAGATGATACTGCAATATTTTTGAAGTTGGGATACAAAATACATTTCAGATAGCGTCATTATAAAAGGAAATGTACTAGACAACATGGATTAATGACACCTTTCAGCTCAGTCTGTCAATAAATACTGTATTTGATTTGATTTGATTTATTTATTCTTTCAAGCATGTAAAGACAGTTGATATGACAACACACATGATTGTACACATAATCCAATATCAATGTGCTTATACCTAGTACATGCTTGAATGGAGTAGGAAGAAGTCAGACTTATCCAGTCCTACCCCATGACATCATCTTACCATCATTGGTTTGCAAGCAATAAATGATTCACTTCTGCACACACACACATTATACTAAAAAAGAATATTACAGTGTTAACATTCTTAAATCACACAATTGATATACTAATGAATGATTACAAAATATAATCATTGAGCCTGTTCTTGCATATGTACAGTTGGCTTTTCTGTTTGGAGTCAGTATATTAAAGCAACACACTCAGAAAGTCACAAAATGTCATTGGAGAATATTAAGCAAAGCTTCTTAGCTCTCTCCAGACAGTTTTATACCTTCATATCAAGTTCCAATTGAATGTGTTCTCTGAGAACATAAAGGTTTACTGCTTAAGACATCATCAACTCCCAGAAATCCTGTATGATGACAACAGTAAACTATTCCAGCCTTTGTAATACTGTATCAAATTATACCATGCAGGCAAGAGAGACAGTTGTTTTTCAGTCCAGCCTTATCTGGATGGAGGGAGACAGCACTTGTTGTTTCTAGTAGGCAGACAAGTGACTATTCTGCATAACAGAAATTAACCTGGCCTAGTGTGACAAATATACAGGATCTGACTGTTCAGAATGAAGAGCTTTGTGACAATTCAATGAGACCTAATGCAGCTGTAAATAAATCCTTCTTTTCAAACGTAAATATGGTTAAAGGCAGCTTAACAAAAGTGAGTATTTCATAGAGGTCAGGGGATGATCTTTTCATGATGTCACAGAAGTGTGGGAGCCTTGCTGGGGTGTCCCAGCACTGGAGGGGACTTACTCCTCAGCTCTTTGCTCTTTAGGTTGATGGGCTGGGCCACCATCAAAGCTGGGGCAGAGAGGTGGTGGGCGGCGACCTTCTGCTGATGAGTGCTGTTGATGTAATTGGAGATGACGAGGGTGATTTCCCTGATCTGTTGACAAAACACAACATATAGGAAAACAGCATTTGTTTCCATGTATGAGTGACTTTCAGTTCATTTGTTTATATGAATTATAGTTTGTTTCAGCTGACCTGTACTTGTCAGTGCCAGTGATGCTGATAGTTTATGCTTATTCAGCATCTTTACTTTCCGCCATTTTCCCTTTAATAATGAGGAAGCATCAGTAGCTTCTGCCACCTGATCTTTTCCTTGCAGTTCTCATGGTTTTCTCAGTATGAATCTGTCAAATTCTTAACCATACTCAGGCTTCTCAGTAGACTGAGGGTAACACACAGTTAGCCAGAAATGAAATGTGTATCGTTCTTATGCTGCTGCTAGCCTAACACGTACATACCGTTTATAATATGTACTGTACCAACAATGAATGCTATGCAACCACATGGCTTACAGCTGGTTGTAATACTGTGTCATATTTGAATTTATCAATGATTTGTTTTTTCATCCATATCAGAGTGCACTTGTGACACTATAATACAGTTACAGCCACCATTATAATCACCCCAATCTTACACTAATGTTGTACTTTATCACCTGATGCAGGTATGAATCTCTGACTAACCTTGGAGGTGTCCATAGTAAACAGATGCTTCTCTGTCAGTTTGTCTTTGCTGCTGTTGGTACTGATGCTTTGTCCCACCACCAGCATCAGGTCCTGTTTGCAGCCTCCAAACGTCATCAGGCTCTTGTACGGGTGGGACACCAGTGGTTTCTGAGCACACAGATGCACAGATATTTGTGTTATGTCAATCTTCTGATAAACCTCATGTGTGCATAAGTAGCAGTCAGTGTCAGTGATCTGGACTTTGAGATTTGTGTTTCCAGATCATCTAGCTAATGGGAGCTATATTTAAAAACGCATGTAAAGCCAGTTATACTGTATTAATGAAGCTACATTGTATAAAGAAGTTAGACTGCAGAGACCACAGGGAAATGTCTATATTATAAAGTCACTATATAGATACATACTAGCTTCTTAAATTAAACTTGATATGTGCTTGCTCAGCAAGCCTTATGTACAAGCCTTTCATGGTTGACAGGTTGCATGACTTTAAATATTAACTCTATTCCAGCTAACTGAACAGGGAATGAAGCCACCATCACAGATGCTTACAACAGAGATGTGCTCCAGAACGGAGATGGAGTAATGCACTAAATTCACAGAAACAAACAGGAAATTAAACACAGCACAAGCTAGATGTGCTCCAGAACGGAGATGGAGTAATGCACTAAATTCACAGAAACAAACAGGAAATTAAACACAGCACAAGCTGGGACACAAGGTGTGACGTGAACTTCATGGGTTGTGGTCATGACTTGAGTAGACATATTATGAGAAAACCTACATTATGCACAGGTTTCTAATTCTTCCCTTTTTTATTTTCTGTATACTGAGAGTTTATATACTTTATATGTGGTATAAGCTATTATTTCTGTGTAGCTTCTTCCGGTTCTTTCAAACCAGGAACTCTCAATGAGACGAAAGAGACTGCTTTTGATTTTATAAAAAATAACCGTGCTGGTTTATTCAGAGGATCACAGGTAAAATTCACAGGACACGTCCAGAGCTCTCTCACCCCTCTACCTGCGCGCAGGCAGCAGAAAGCTGAAACCGTCTGGACCCAACAACCTATATAATATTATTCATTTTTGGGCTAGCCCATGCTACAAGGGGCGTCAAACCGTGACGCCACCCGATAAGCAAGCTTTGCAGCTGCTCTATCGTTTAGCCAAAACATGAGGAAAAGTCAAGGTGCGTGACTGTTGTTTTCGTGGTGTGTATCTAAACAATTGGACATAACCTTACACAGTAAGACAAATATTAAGACTAGCATTACAGTTGACCCTAAAAGCTCTTTTCCTGTAACCTTGGCGTGCCTGCAATCCCTGCAGGCTGAATAGTTACAGCAAGCTAGTCACCCTGTCTGCACTAAACATTCCTAGACAACAAATCTCTATCCACATCTATCTAACTAAGAAATAACCTAACAGTGGGCTCGTTTGTTCAACACTGAGTCATGTTTTTTTTAGCAGCAAATAACATTTTGTAGCATTATTTATATCCATGTTGCTGATTGCTGATGAGATGACTTCCTGAGCGTTTACAGTTCACACACACACACACACACACACACACACACACACTTACTTCAGCTTCAAATAGCTTGGCACCAAAGAACAGCCACTTCCTGACACACTCAGATGAAGAAAGACATCTGAGTGAGGCCCAGCGGGCGGACAGATGCTGCAGCAGTCGTCTAAGAGGTGGGAGAGGTAGGGGACAATACAGCCATTAAAAATAACTACCACAGTCTATCATGACAGCAGTGTTCATTTTTGTTATGGCCTGACCCGAGCTCACAAAGTCCTGCAACACCACCTTGAGCTTCATACCTCACCTATAAACCTGTCATTAATTTTCAGCTTTGATTTGGGTTTAATTATTAATTATCACTGTGCTCCAGATTTTGACTGAATAATGGATTGATTAGTGACCAGTTTTTAACTTTGATTTTCTCATGTGGTTATTCGGCTCACAGATGATCTACAATGAGTGCATTCAAATATGTTTAGATTTTGATAATTGCTGTTGTTTTACCTGGTTCATTTTTTCCCCATTTTTTTTGAAACTGTCCCCCTGTCAGGATTGCTCTGCACCACCTGCCTCTCCTCTTTGTTCTTTCTCTCTCCCTCTCTCCTCTCTGCAGGGTCTCTGTCCTGGGCGTGGCACACAGCTGTGCTGAGTTACACTGCTGAGGGAAGTTGCTTCATCATCAACCTTCTATTTAAGACTCTGGCAGACACTCCTCCAGTGCTCGTATGTTGAGGATTACTTCCATGACACTTTGGCTCTCCTTATTGACTCAGCTGAACACTACTACTGCTGTTTTCTGCTCCTGCAACTCTTCACATCTCTCCAGCCTCCTAGCCACGCCATCTCTGTTCGTCTCCCTCTGAGCCCTCCAGCAACTCTTTTCTTATCACTCCAGGCTGACATCTTCCCCCTCTGCTCTCAGGTCAGTCAGCATAATCCACTACCAGCTGTCCTCATCCTCTCCAGTCCTCCCTGCTGCTAGAGATTGCTGCCCCAGACTGCAACGCCCAACTCCTCTCCCTGGACTTCCCCACTCCATGACCTCATGCAAATTCTTATCCCCAGTCTTGGCACTTCATTGGACCTCTTCTCAAAGACTGTCACTATTCTCCTGCTGTTTGCTTCTAATAAAATCTCTTGTCAGAACTGTGTGTCTGAACTGAACTGTGCGTCTGTCCCGCCTGCTTGCTCACCTCGCTCCTGCGAGTGAGCGATCATAACAGCCCCATAAACTTCAAATATTCTCACTGACCTCCTTTTGTGCTAATTACATTTAGATCACAGCTCATGCTCAGGGAGCAACTTGCTCTGAAGGAAACCTGTTGGCGGTGACAACAGATTGTGATAATATAACTGAGTCAACATATAAAAGAGACACAACATCTAAAACTGATAGCCAACTAAATGACTCACTGCATATACATTAAAGTAGAAAATGTGTGCAGAATGAACTGTACCCAGTTTTCAGTGTGTTCTGGTACCTGAGCTGCTCTTCAGACTTGGTTCTGGATAGTGTTTAGGGTAGAACCTTTCCAGAACCAGTTTGATTTGGTTAAACTTGGTCTGGGCTGATCCAGGAGAAGAGAAGGGGTGCTCAAAATCCTCAAACTCCACCTGAACACAAAAGCAAATGCAAACACAGTACTTCACTGGTTTTTAAGGTGGGGTCTGGTTCATCTAACAAAATACAGGAAATATTTTTCCTTACAACAGAGTGCAAGAGTCCACTGGGCTGAAGTTGTATTGCCCACCAGGACATAGTATTCTTCATTTACAACAGGGGTGTCAAACTCAATCGCACAGGGGGCCAAAACTCAAAGCACACTTTAGGTCGCGGGTCGAACAGGATAAAAATTTATTGAACAGACTAAAACTAAACGTTTTTTGAACATAAATATGAATCGAAACAGACAGGATACAACATTATTCCAAAATAAATAAACCTGAACTTTATCACCAACCCTATTTCTGCTAAGGCTTACATTTGCAAACAACTGCTTTTTGTCTGGACACAAGACGTCACACACTTTCATCATGCAGCACTTCAGAAACTCTCCCTCGGTAAATGGCCGGGCTGATTTGGCTATCTCCTCACCTCACTTGGACACTTAACACCACACAGCTGGTCAAGAAGGCCCAAAGGCAGCTGTACTTCCTGAGGAGGCTGAGGAGGTTTGGCATGTCGCCTAGGATCCTTTGCAACTTCTACAGCTGCATCATTGAGAGGATCTTGACCAGCTGCATCACTGTCTGGTATGGCAGCGCTACCGCTATGGACCGCAAGAGCCTGCAGAGAGTGGTAAAGACTGAAAAACTCTTTCTTTCCCTCCGCCATCAGACTCCTAAACAGCTGAAGAGTTTATTACCAGGAAATACGTCATGTACTGTTTACATTCTCACTTTGCACATGAATAATTGCACATTGACTGTTGACTGCTGCACATGCTGCTCCCATGCAGCATACATTCTCTATTATATTCTTATATATTTTTATTATATTGCTGCATTTGCTGCTTAATGTGCCTTAGATTTTGTGTTACTTAATTATCTACTCTATATTTCATTTTTATTTTGTGGCATTCATGTGGACGGCAAAGTGAAAATTTCATTGTACAGGGAAACGCGTTTCCTAGCTATGCATATGACAAATAAACACTCTGACCTTTGACCTCCTCTGCCGCAATAAAACTTGCTTTCACAGCAGCTTCACTCTGTGATTTCGCGTTGGTGAAAACGTCTGCTGTGATGTCAGATTCCTCTTCAACTCTACCTTCTGTAGCTTCTGCTCTACATTCATGTTTTTCAGCTTGCCCTGATGTTTTGTCTCGTAGTGCCGTCTTAGGTTATATTCCTTAATTACAGCCATATTAGCTCCACAAATAAGACACATGGGTTTACAACAATGTCAGTAAACATATACTCAGCCTCCCACCGGTTTAGAAAGGCTCTGTTTTCAGAATCAACTTTCCTCTTGGCCATTGTTAGGGGGCTAGGTCTGACTTGAAATTAGGGTTGTATACATCAACAGACGTTTGATTGATCTGACGTAATTGACGCGGGAATGATCGCAGGTAGCCTATCGTTCGGTAAGGCAGCTGTTGTGCTGCATTATGGGATTTGTAGTTTGTGTGTTATCTGCGCTTCACATCGCTGGGCCATTAAAAAAAAAGATACATAAAATGATCTTGCGGGCCGGATGTGGCCCGTGGGCCTTGAGTTTGACACATGTGATTTACAAGATTAACAAAAACATTAGAAGGAAGTTTAAAAAAAACACAAAACATCAATTTCTTTCCGACCTGGGCCAACAGGACAGCCATTTCCAGAGCCAGCTCCTTGTTGACAGTAAAGTGTCCTGCTACAATGGCTTCAGTGGTCTAATAAGCTAGCAGCAACCTCTCCCTCTCTGACTCCCCCCTCATCTGGAGAGAGAAGTACAGCCTGGGAATGAAAAGCAAAGGGCAATGGTAATAAAAGAGAAACTGTAACAGAAGGAGGAAGTACTTGGGACAAAGTACTGGTACTGGGGGAAATAGTTTTTATTCAATTATTAAACTTTCATTTTTTTCTGTTATATTTCCAAAGAAGACAGCAGTTTGGACCCCAAACCAATGAAACGATGACTGTAACACATTCTGCTGTGTTCCTATAAAGTGAACCATTATCAAAATTCCCAGATATTCATTGACCTCCTGAGAAATTTAGCATTTTAAGGTTTTGTCAAACTCTCTGTAAGAAATTAGCCATCAACAAAGCTGTTTTTTTATGCTAGTTGGCATGGCAACAAATCCTCCTGACAGTCTGAGCCACGCTCCCTTATCTCTCTCTGCTATAATGTGTAACTATGTGAAACTTTGACAGCATGAAAGTGCCCTGTTCATGTGTGGTTCTGTTGTGATTTATGGCCACAGGGCCAGTTGGGTCCCTGTTACCTGTTCTTGTAGGTGAGGCGGACAGTAGGGGGTGTTTTCAGACTTTCCAGTGTGCTGCTCCTTAGAGGCCTGTTCCCATTTAGAGATAGTCACAGATCTATTGATGACATGAAGAAGACCGATTTGTGGCTTGTGCTGGATAATAAGCAATCTTTCCCATTTGCAAACAGCAACCATTATGTGATTAAAATACACCTTAATGCTGCCTTGCAGGCAGTGCTCCAGCTCTCGTCCAGTAGGGTCATTGGTGTATAAGCTGAAACCAGATAGGCCTGTTCCCCTAATGCCAGTGTCCTGATTGAGGCGGCACTGGAACTCATCCACTGTGGTGGAAGCATCAAAACTCACCACCTGTGAAAAGGGAATTAAATGCACAGGACAAACAACAGTAAAAACCACAATCAGGACAATTAACCTTTTTTTGCTTTTAAGAGGGGAACACTACATGTATAATAAAGGTTATATGATAAACAGAATAAAGGTTTGTCAATTTTCTGACCACTTCATCTAAAAAAATCTGTTTGCTGACATTTTCTAAACTGTTTTTACAATAGACAGAGTACTTTATTAATCCAAAAGGGAAATTGCAATGTTGCAGCAGCCACAAACCACCAAGATACAGTAGGCAAGAATTTATACAATGATACAAAGGCTAAGCTATATAAATAGACAAGAAAGTAATAAAAAATGTAAACATTTGTGAGTAAATCCCATTTAATCTTGTATTTTTCAAGAGCTGAGAATTAACAACGTTAATGTCATTTTTCACTGTCTTTCTGTAGGCAGAGGGTGAAAGTCATCTTTTCCATAGAGCAATCAACGATCCAGTTTGTTAGCATGTTAACATTTGTCATTTAGTACTAAACACAAAGTACAAGGCTCATTGGAAAGTCATTAGTTTTGTATATATTTGTTCCTAAACCAAAGTATAGAACAAATTAAAAATTTTGATCTGATGATGGTGCTAGACGAAAGGTCTATGGATCCACAAACAACAAATGACAATTTATCCTGAGGGGATCATCTGTACCAAGTTTCAAGGCAACAAATTTAATAGTTGTTGAGACATTTCACCAAAAATCAGACATGTACACCTCATGGTGGTGTAAAAGTCAGGGAACCACCAAAGACATCTGGATCCTCTGGGAGCCATGAATGTCATGACAAATCATCCAAAAGTGGTTGAGTTATTTCAGTGTGGACCAAAGTGCTGCAACCGACTAACACTGCCATCTAAAAATGATAAAACCTCCTTGGATATACTGTATACTTGCTTAACAAATACTTCTCATATGGATTGAATCAGTAATAGATCTTGTCATTACACAGCATGGTTATCCATACATTTGGACCATAAAGCCAACCTGCTGGATATATCTGAAAACTGATTACTGTAAGGTATGTGCTGTGTTTGTTTCTGTTTTTTTCTATTCTCTCACATTTAAACACTTTTCAAAATGTACAAATAAATAAACAAATAAATGCAGCAATATTTTATCATAATATTTAGCCAGACACGTCATGAAACAGGTTTATGTATCCTTGTGAGTCCAGAGCTGCTGCTAGGTAGGTGTCTAGGCTCTGAGCTCATCACTTCCTGCCAGCATATATAGAGAAAGGGAACAGGGAGTGACCAAAACAAACACCAACCTAGGAAACACCTGGAGCATGGTGGTAGACAGTGGGATGGAG